TTTTAACTTTTCTGTCCTCCAGGTTATTCTCCACTACTGACCTGCTCAGATCATTATTTATTGTGCCCGTTTTTGCCATCTCTGCTGTTGCCAACAGTAATTTTCTCTTTCCCTGGGGGGTATATTGAAAATAGAGCAAACCTTTGGAGGAGCTCATCAGAAATAGTCTCAGTGAGGATAATTCATATTTACAGCTATTTTTTGTGATCAGCCTGTAATCCATTTTTAATCCATTAAATATGGGTGATATTGATTTTGCATTGTGCTATTTTGTTCTTTATCAGAATCAAATGCTCTATAGGAGGCTAAGTATAGTATTCCAGCAGAGCTTCTTTTCTCAACAATCCTTTGATACCACAAAAATCATAGCAAGTTTATTTGGCATAATACAGTTCTATAAAAATAATATGAACGATTTTATCAATTTTTAATTACTCTAATGATTACACCATATCAACTTTTCCATGATTTTGCCTAAGACTGATAGGAAGCTAATGAGTCTAGAGTTTTCTGTATCAAACCACTCATTCTTTTGCATTATTGTGGGTCTGGTGTCATTTGAAGCTTCCTTTATGCTTTCTGGTTCTGAGGAGTCCTAGTAAACTCTTCCTTCACTTTTGGATTCAGATAATGGTTCTACAAATTTAAAATTATGTTTGGATAGTTACTGCTTAATATTACCTGTAACTACTGATGGAGCAGGAGGAATTACATTTTAATGTGTAATCTGACTCTCTCCTTCCACTGCTTTCAAATACAGAACAAGACTGTTTGTTGGGTTTCCAATGTAGTGTGAGCAATCTCTGTGCTGGGCCTGTCTAACATCACACTTAGCTTTGCTATGGCAGTATTTATTAGGATATATGTAAAGTCTTTGGTGTAACCAGCCCGAACCTATTTGCCACTGACTTCCCATACATTTTTGGCTTCCTTCATTAAGCATCTACTTTCCTTACTTGCTGATTTATCCTCATGAGCCTGCCTAATCACCCATACATTATGTTGGTGGGTTTTTTTGCCCTCCAGATTACTTTCCTGAATTTTACTATAAGAGGTTGCAGGTAATGCTGGTCATATTTTCCCCTCACCCATCAATTTTAATTATACCAAAGGACCTTCTCTTTTTAAATTAAAATCTTATTGACAGCCTATATATACCAGGGTTAATTGCAGTCCTGCAGCAGAGCTGCTCAAGGAGACTCTGATGCCAGAGATGGTAACTGTTAAGGGGACCAATGTGAAAGATGCAGGGTTTTACTTTGCTTTATTTTGAATAATGCAGATCTTTTGGCCTTGTGGCAGGTGGAGGAGGTTCATTTTAGTGATCACAAAAAAATGCCACCTCGATGCTGGCTCCTTGGCTGGCACTGATCAACACATCTCTGGAGCCTGTGATGGAGTAGTGCCAATGGAGGTCTGCCAGGGTCTGCCATGGGGTCTTCTGAAAATTCAGGGCAAACCCAGAATTTTGTAATTTTTAATGGCTTAATTTCCTCAATGACATTGCAGCTGCAGTTGAGTGACAACACTTACCCTAAGGAAGAGACAAGGAGGGGTGGACTCACTGGTACAGCACTGCCTTGCATCTGGACAAGCAAAACCAAAGAGCTCATGGAGCTTTTCCAAACTCCCCTTCTGGAAGGCTGGCTTTCCCTTACCAGAATAAATGGCAGGTGTTGAGGCACAGAAAGCCACCCAGCTGAAAAAGAAATGAGGAACAAAACAGTGCAAAGGATGATCTCAGCTGCAGTGTGCCCTCTGGGGTGAGCAATTCCTTCAGGTTTCTGGTGGAGGCTGTCTCACAGAGCAAAGCACTTGGGATGGCTGAGCTCTGACAGGGATTCCTGGAGGGCTCTGATCCTGGGCACAGGGAAGCCAGGGGAGCGTGGCAGCAGGGGGAGGCTCTGGGCTGGGAGGAAGGCTGCAGGTCTGCATGGGAACAGGGTCCTGCTCACAACCCTGCCTTGTCTCAGAGATAATAACTGGTGACCACTGTAACAGCAGCACAGCCTGTATGAATTTATCTATCTCCACTGGCTGATAATGGCTGCTTTATGAAAACAGCATTAGTCTTCCACTCTTTTGCAGCGAACTAATGGCTCTGAGCATATTTAAATTCACTTCCTTTGCCGGAATAACTTATTTGCTCCCTTTCATGTTGACTTGGTCTTTGGCACTCTCAACATAAATGATTTATTGACTAGAGATAAAGCATTCTTTCCCCTGAACTGTTCCTGCGACCCAGGCAAAAGCGGATATGTCTGGTATTAATAAGGTGTTCAGCATAAAAAATGCAATAGACTTGATTGTCTGCACTCAACAGCCTTTCCGAGAACACAGTACCTGCCCCCATTCATAAGAACAAAAACCTCTCCCACATGTTTATTTATATTAAAAAGTTTTCAGAAGAATATGCTGGGATCCAGATAGTTGTTCAGGAGATGTAGAACAATTTCATAAATATCCCTGAGGAAGCATGGCCTACTTTGGGAGAATAACAGTGATTAAAAAAATCCAAACACAATGAATAGTTAAATACAAGCCAAAAAGTACAGTTATTTCCTTATGGCTCTGGCAGACAGTCACACACGTGAGAAGGGTCACGGGGCTCGGGGGGGCTATGCTTGCAGTTATCCACATGCATAGGCTGGCTGCAGGATGGAGACCAAACCAGCTTCAGGGGAGGTTTGTCCAACAGGCACCTACAGCAGACATCTCTCAGAGTCTGGCTACTCAAGCGTCTGGACTTGATTTTCACATTTCTCAGGGCCTATAACACTGCTTTTCTAGGTCACCATAGCTAAAATCCTGGGAAGCTTTTAAAACAAACTGTTTTAACAGGTTAAGTGCACACATCTAAATTCATGCCCATATACTGGAAGATGGTCAAAACTAAAATTGATACAAAAAAAGCTTCTAGTGGCTCTCTGCCTAACCCAACTTCTTCTCACACACCCTTTAAAGATAACACTCTTTGATAAACTCTTCTTTTATCATTCAAATTATTCTGGATTTTTTTCACCGGGTAGTAAAATAAGAGAACTCCTACTGTAGAAGTATAGCATTCTCTTTTTAATTTAACATATCAATCAAAGTAGTTTGTTTTTAATTACTTTATCAACATGAAATTGATGTCAGTTGTCAGAGTGCATTTTTAAAACCTGTAGCAGAAAGAGCTGTAAAATTTGCTGAAGCTTACAGTGGACCTGTGCCATGCACATGGCTGGCTCTATTGGTATCAGATTCCAACCTGCAACCCTATGAAAAGCTCTAAAAAGTGCAAATGTTGCAATTGGCAAAGATCCTTATGTTTTAAGGAGAATTTTACACCAATTAATTTGAAATTAGGGACCAGGATTTTCAGAAAGAGAATGTAGAAGCTTACTACTCTGTAATTCTTGGGAGCTCCATTTGAGAATCCATGGAAAGACCCAAAACATTAAAAATCACTAGCAACTTCTGAGAATCTTTGTCACCAGTAAAAATATTTTGCTTTTGCACTGAGCGCTATAGAAGTATCCACTATGCTGAATCTGAGATGGGTGGAGAGCTGAAACCTAAGCCCATAACCATCTAAAAAAATTAAACCCTGAAGATAATTATCTGTTTGTTGTACAGGCACCCTCAGTGGTTGACCTTCCATTCTCTAGCAATGAACTGCACAACAATTTTTAAGAATTATAACACAGGAGCTTCCTCCAGAAAGGTGCCTGTGACTTACTCTAACTGCACATTCTCTCCATCACTGCATCTTCACACAGCATTGTCTCATGCAGAGTTTGGAATTAATGCTAAGAGCAACTCTATCAGGCTGGAGAGAGTGACAGTCTTTAAGTACACAAAAAAGCTACCTTTGATTTTAAAGAAAGAAGGAAAAAAGAGGTGAGCCCCCTCAGAATGTTGATGACATCAGTTCATTATAAAGAGTGTGCTGAGAAGGTCCTGATGTAAGGGACAGACACTAATTCCACTGAGTCCCCATGGAAGAAAGAGCACCACAGCCAGCTGTGATACAACCAGTGATGAGGTCAGCCATTCAGAGACTGAACAAAAAACAACGTTCAGATTGAATGCAACAGTCATGAGCCTGCTACAGTATATTGAAAGGCTTATTGGAACCATTTGCTTATTCCCAGTTCCTACCAAAATACTGTTTTGAGTAGAAAGTGGAAAAAGTTAATGAAGAAATCTGCCCTCTCCAAAGGGAGTGTCTTGCTCCCTAGAAGTATAATCTTACACTTTACCTTTTTAGAGAGTTTGGTTTGGACTACAATTTCCCAGCCCTGCCCAAAACATAAGTGGTGGCCAGCATAAAGAACCTGAATTCTTCCAGTTTATTCTGGTTTTATTGCAGACCAAACCCAGGGTCACATACATGTCTGAGAAAGGCTCTCTCCCTTGCCTCTCCCTCACTGAGTTAGAAAACACACTGGCACACCAGAAACAGGACCCTTTGATATTTGGTGGGTGAGAGGGAGAGCACACACAGTATCCTACAGCTCCTTCAAACTACCCTGGTTTTGGCTACCTCTGTGACAGCTCTTCTCTAAGTCTTGATAAAAGAAGTCACATCTCTGCCACGTGCAAATCTATCTACACAACCTACTGTGAATCAGTGAAGGGATGCTAGTACTGGGCTTAGTTTGGATGCAGTCTCAGCACAAACACTGAAACATATCCTCAGTATTTTAAAAAAGGACCATTATATATATATGGACTGTGCTAGTTCTGTGAGAAAAGCACATATGAAGTGCTGATATTGTTTAACAGAATACCATTAGACTGCAAAACTAACACATACAAGACGTTTACATTCCTATCAGGGTGTAATATTGTGAACATATCCACTGAGATTGGAGAATTGTTGTAAGTTTTTCCTAAAACATCATGCCATCTGCATACATAATAAAAGAATCCAGTAGTTGCCATGCTAAAACAGGACTTCTAGTGAAGGGCATAGACAGTCCCCTAAAGGGAACTCAAAAGTTATGCACAGTGATGAAGACTGGAAGAAATTTTCCAGCTAAAGGTCTGTCAATGACCATTTTCAACAAATTAGATATTTTGGATATTTTGCACCACATATTTACTCCACAGCAAACCAGGTCTCCCCAGAATGTATCAGCTGAGTGGGCTGATTTTACTTCAAGTTTGTCTTCAATCCTCCATGGTCATCTTCTGGCAGCGCCATTTATTGTCGTTTCTTCATGAAGGAAAGTTCACTTCCATATCAAGTGGCAGGACAGCAGCTTTAGAGGCTGGAAATGTTTATGGAGAGCTCTCTGCTGGGGCTGTGAGAAACAAAACAAAAATCCAAAACCAGACTGTAAGTATAGAGCAGAGCAAAGAAATTATAATGATTTCAACTAAAATGAAAAAAGTCAGGTTTGAGCTTAGTAAATGTACTTGTAGAATATATATTGTGACCCTAGAACTTTTTTTAATCAACTTTTCTCACCAATCAAAAAACTCTTAATCCATTCCTTAGATAAAGTGCAGACCAGAAATCATTTGCATGATTTAACAAATCCTACTTGAATTTTATTGCCTCATGTGAAAGCACAGTTTATTCTTCCTGTAGTCTGAGTTCCAGAGAGCAGGGCTCTTCTGTTTGGTTGGATTTGCATTAACTACTGAAGGCTTGATGGCCAAAAACTGGAAAGGCTCTGCCAAATGCCCAAGTAGTATTTGCTGTTCCCACAGCCTTTCTGCTGGCTAAGATGGTGAGAACTGGCCATTGGTGCATAGGTGTGAAAACAGCTCACCCATATCCTTCCCCCCTTCAGACCCCATAAGATAACGAGGAGGTTGCAGAGTTTCTCTTTCCCCTGCTAAGCAGTACAGCACACTCAGAGCTGCCCTTGCAGAGGTGTACAGCCATCCACAGTGGAGGTCACTTGTAACTTCCCCTTCACCCAAACTTGTCTTTGAGAAGCACAGCAAAAGGACAAGAGGCAATGGACACCAGAAGCAACAAGAGATATTCCAGTTGGATGCAAGGAAAAAAAACTCTTCCAAGTGAGGGTGGTTACGTTTTGGACCAAGTTCCTGACCAGGCTGTGGGACCTCCACCTACACAGAAATCTGCAGCTCAACCAGATGAGTCTCCACACAACCTGATGGGCCCTGGTTCCAGCAGAGTTTACTGGAACCATCTCCTGAAGCCTCTTCCAACCTAAATATTTTTAAGCTTGTACATGTTCTGAAGGGGATTTGTGCTCCTTGTTCTGCCTTTCTGAAGAGGAGATGAGTGCCTGTGCAGAACTGCTCACACTGAAGCACAGTCAGTTGTTAATTCAGTGTGTAGCACATAAATGCCTGTAAACCCACCACAGGCTCAAGCTTCTGGGGCTGAGGAGCCATGCAGAGACAAGCTCACCATATTATTTCATGGAATCACAGAATCATTTAGGTTGGAAAAGGCCTTTATGATCATTGAGTCGAGGTGTTAACCCATCACTGCCAAGGCCACCACTAAAATGTTTTGGGATGCAGCTTTGTCCATCACCTGTTTTACAGACCAGATCTCTGACCACAGCAGTGCTGGGATGGGACTCATCAGGATGGCTTTGCACCTTTTCCAGCTGACATCCTGCTGAGTTCATGAATGCATGTATCTGTAGGTGTGGGAAGAGCTGCACTGTTGGGGTTTTGGGCCAGGTTCCTGACTGTGAAGCTAACGGGATACTGATGCTGCCAAGGCAGCATTTACATCAGCTGAAACTCAGGCTGGCAGTGGATTCCTGCTTCTCACTCCTTCAAAATCATTCCTGGTAGGCTCTTCTCTGTGGGGTGTGGGCTGACTGGCTCTGCCAAGCTGTCACTTTGCCCATATTTGCCTCTACCAACCCCAAGCTCTTGTAGCAATGGACATGAAGGTCTGATTGAGCAGAGAAAGGATGGGATGATAAATCAGTAGGTATTGCACAAGACAAAAAAAAAATCCACCCACTCCCTGCCATGAGCACTTGACCCCTGAGTGTAAATATGCCCTATGAAATAGAGGAACAGTAAAAACCAGTTTCCTTAATTATTTCCCTCCTTATGTGGGCATATTTACCTGATTACAGTGCCACTCTTGATTTGTTTTTATAGCTGCTTTGCTGTTATCCTCCAGGTTCTCTGGGGCAATGTTCCCAACACCACCTACTGTCATCTACTACATGAGATGCCCACATCAGTAGTGGCCTGAGAAAGATGCACATTTCAGACCCAGCAACTGGTTTCACATCATGGAAGAACATACAGGAAGGTTCTGAGCCTTCAGCTGGTGTAGACAGATACAGATACAACTGACTGCATCCCCCAAGACAGAAAGAAAGCAATGATGACATAAGCAATTTTGAAGACAAAGGGCAAATCTATGGGGAGGTTTTAAAATTGGAGAGCAGCAAACAGGTACTTAATCTCAAAAGTATTTTATTTCAGGTGAATTAGAGGGTGTCTCCCATCTGTGTAGCATCAGTGGAGATAAGCCTGTCTCACAAAGACCTGTCTCTCTCTCTTTGAGCTCATCTGCTGCAAAGAAAGGAAAATTTCAAAAGCTCTCCCAAGCAGTGGAAAATACCTTCCTTAGCCACAGAGCTGGAGGACTAAAATAAAATGGGCAAACTGGCTAATTATATCAGGTCAGGCCTCAGGACTGCACTCGTGCTGAAATTCCCCAATCATCCCCATTGTCTCAGTCATTAGCTTGTCCTTGTACTTCAGTTTGAAATGAGCCAGCTGGCCCTTCAGACAGAAACCCATGAATGAGCAGAAATGCAACTGATGCCAACCTGAGCTCCATCCACCCCACAGAGGGAGCACAACCACTTTGAGCCATCAGAGGCTCTGGACACAACTGCCAACACTGAGCAAGCAGACAGTAGTGGCTCTGTCAAGCTCTGCATTTAGAGCAAGCAAACTCAGGCTTTAGTGGTCATCTAGCCTGTTTCTTCTCACTTTGTCTTTTGGGGAAAGGGTTTTAGAAGCACTTATTCTTCCTCATTACCTGCATCATTTTTCGTGCCCAGCTGGAGGGTCCTCTAAGGACCCTGGTTTTGTAACAGTTCATATCCAGTGTTTACTGAAAGTAAAGATCTTTATAAAAGGTACCACAAATGAGCAGTTGCCTTTGAAAACCCAGCCTGAGACAGTAAACAAAGACAGCCCTTTGCAGGGGGTGTATATGCTTACCAACACAACAGTGAACAGATCTAATCTCACATGACATTTTCAAGAAGCTGATGCAGAAAAACAACAATCATTTCAAAGCCAGAGATGTATTTCAGTTTTTGAGTATCTGTGCTGTGTGATTTTTGTCTGAGAAAGGGACACATTTTAGATTCATTTTGAACACATGTTAATTCAACTCAACCTAGAGGTATTACGTATTTGCCACATTTCCATAATTGAGGGATTCTGATAAAGAAAACAAGCATCCATTATCTTTGCTAGGTTTACTCTCCTGGAACTAATTTTATACTAAATTTCTAAAGTCAGCACATTTCAAACACAGGATTATAATGAAAAATGTCTATTTCCAAACATCTTTCTACCATCTATTCCTTGGAGTCTGTGAAAAACTGCATTTGGCTTCATTTAGAAATATTTTTTCTGTCTTAGAAAGGACATAGGTATTTCACTTCATGTGTCTCATGTCACTTGAGACATTTTAATATGCTGTACATTACTGCAGATTTGTTGCATCTTGCTATTAACTAATTAGAGTTCATAAAACTGTCCAGTTATTGGGGACGGGAGGGACCTTGAAGATCACCTGGCTCCACCTCCCCTGCCATGGGCAGGGAGCCTTCCACTGGACCAGGCTGCTCAGAGCCCCATCCAGCCTGGCCTTGGACCCTGCCACAGGTGGGGCATCCACAGCTTCTCTGGGCAACCCTGCCAGGGCCTCACCCCCCTCACAGTACAGAACATCCTCCTAAAACCTTATCTAAACCTTTCAGTGGAAGGCTCCTTGTCCTGTCACACCATTGTGGAAATGCTCTAGGCTCACTGCAGCCCCCTTTAAGGCAAGGGGAAGGTGCTATAAGGTCTCCCTGGAGCCTCTTCTTTGCCAGGTTGAACAGCCCCAGCTCAGCCTGTCTGCATGGGAAGGTGTTTCAGCCCCATGATAATTGAGTGATTCTGGACTCCTCTGAACTCATTCCAACAGGTCCATGTCCTTCTTGTACTGGGAACTCCACAGCTGGGCACAGCACAGATGGTGTGTGTGTCCAGTCTGGGGCCCCCAACAGATACCATTACCATTGAAGAGTTCTGGACACTGATAAAAGAAAATGCCTGGCAGCCCACTCACAGATTTACCCCTTTTCTTTACTCTGCATTGAATTGTTATTAGCACTGAGGTGTGAGAGAAGGAGGTGTCTCTCTAAGGCTCATGGCAGTTCGTGTAAAAAGAACTTTCCTTCTTGGGGAGCTGCTGATCCCAGTCAGCCACCAGGGTGGAAGGAGAACTGGCAGGGGCTGGGAAGGGCTGCCATGGGGCAGCCTTGGCAGGGACAGGAACCACTTTCCCCTGTACTTTGCCAATGAAGTTGTACCTGCATTTGGTTTCAGTCTATGACAAAGCCATCCCATTCCTGCAGTGGGTGAAGAACAGCAGTTCTGGTTCTTTTAACCTGCAGGTGAAGGCAGCTGCTGCTGCACATCCTCCTTTCGTAACAGGTCGCTGATAACCAGAGTCAACAGTGCCAGAGACCCAAGGTTGCCTCAAACCATTGTCTGTGTGGAGCCAGCTGGAGCCAGCAGCCAGAGGGTGGCAAAGCATGGCCCCAGCCTGCTCCATCCACCCCCACCCCTGCTGTCATCCAGCACAGGCTGCAGGTCAAGCCTTAGGGCTCAGAGAGTGCCACAGCCCTGCAGCCTCTGCTAAACAGGGGCACTTTAATCTGGGACTGTGCAACACCCAGCAGGCAAGAGAATACAAACACGTGGATGCTTTTTGATAAAAGTGCCAATTTTGTTTTGATTCCCAACCAATTATGTCTTGGTCTGACTTGCCTGACTTTCCCCTCATTACTAAAAACTAGTAGCTGATACAGTCTTGAAGGTAATTTAATGTTGTCAAATGTAGTTGTCAAATGGTGGGAAAATACCAAGGAGGAAGGGAAGGAAGTATCTTCTTACTCTGATTTTTTAATTTGGTTGCCAGGCAAGAAACCAAGATTTTGAATTTGGAGTACCTTTGACAGAAAAAGTGGGTCTGTGAGCACAACACCTAGAGCATCTGACATAGTAATCCTAATCCCAAGCATTTGATATTCTTTAATGAGTCCATGCAAAATAA